ATAAGTTATTGTTTTTAGTGAATTGTAGAGAGTATTTGTAAGGTGGAGGACTGACTACTTGCGATTCGGGGTTTACCATATTGCTGGTGTCAGTCCACTGAAGTCGGCTATTACGATACACTGTTATTCTCATGTAATTCAAAGGATGATTATGACGAGGATTAAATGATTTTTATCATTATATAATGATGATTATGATATATAATAATAAATGTGAATATCAAATATTTTTCTATAAGAAATCATATCATATAATTAATTGCAAAAAATATTTGGATTTAAGTGGTATAGTAGCAGTATCCTTACCGATATACATATAATGCATCTATCGACTGAGATCGACTATCGATGAAAAAATACCGCTATACAAACAACACTACGAAATAACCTATTAACCACACGGCATGCAGCGTGAAAGCTGACCATAACTTTTTGTTAGTGTACTGTTTGATTTAGATTCTAGGACCATACTCTTAAAATTCTTAATTGTGCATTGTCAAGCTCCATTAACGCACATGTAATTTGGAGTACGATAAAAAAGAAAAATTTCATGATTTATTATAATTGATCCAATGATCAATTATAATAAATCATGAAATTTTTCTGAAATCACAAGGGGAGAGGTGATAATGATATACGAGTATCACGTGTATTTATTTTTTCCTCAAACGCGTGATCACCAGTGGTCGGAATTAGGTAGAGTTATTCATGTACTTACACTGATTTGAAGTGGATATGCCTCAAATCCCGAGATAAATTAATTTTAAAGAGCAGAAAAAATCCAGTGATTTTTTAAATAAAAAGTTATTTACTTTTACACAATTTAAACTACTGCATGCACGACGTTGCCAAACTTACATCAATGAAAGAAATAAATAAAGAAAGAAGAAATAAAGAAATCCCGGGAAGGTCCACATTAATATCAACATTTCGATGCAAGTACATAAATAACTCTACCTAATTCCGACCTCTGGTGATCACTTAATCGAAAAACGGCGTCAAAAATTAATACTTTTTTGTAGTTACTAAAAATACACGTTATTTGGGTAAAGTCTTACTCTTCACCATGTATTTCCAGGGGGTTTCAAAAATTCTGAAAAACATCACGTGTTTAATGGATCTTTAGAAATATAATGTCGTTTTCTCATTACAACTTATTTGAACATTTCTTGGTATAAAACCAGTTCAAAGTTAGTTATTTTTTATTGTACTCGCCCTCTTAATGAATCAGTTTCTGATTTTATCAAACTAATTAATTAAGCAACGTAATTGATTCTCATTATTAAAATGAAATTATCATGTCACAAACCAGTTCTAAAACTAAATAAACATTAGCCAAAAAACATGAAGGTTGATTAGATGACAGCTTATAAACTTTTTTTAATTAAATTTTCGTTTAGTAAATTAACGCAATTAGTTAATATTTTTCATGGCTAGCTAGTATTAGGTAATATGATGTTGTGCTAAATTTAAAATATGCTTTTGACATTCAAAATTAGTTGAGTTTCTCTTTAAAAATAGAAAATACAAAACGATAAAAGAAATGGAGATGGAGACAAGTTGGCGGAAGAATAAGTAGAGTACATCTGATTACAAATAAGGTAAATAAATAAATAAATAGTACGGACTCATTAAAAACACTATCATTTGTTTAATGCTTATAAAAATCATTTTGGTATTTGTTGGTATTTATTTAGTTACGATAATAGATATACGTCATATACATATGCATAACTGGTATTACTATAATAAATGTTCTGTAAAAAATAGTACTTATAGCGTCATATATTAGTGTTATAGATTGCAGATTGCGCCTACATGATGTAGAGTACAATACTCTATCTTACAGTACGGTTGGCAACCCTAGGCCAAGGACACCCAGGTGTTATGCCCTGTAGTCCTATCATAGCGCTGTAAAAGCATAGAGGTTTGATCAGCTAAAAATGTTTTGTATGATTTAATCTATATATTGTCACAGCGCTGTGTTCGATGGCAAATTCAGATAGTATAACAAAATACCATAGCTATATCTAAAGAGGTATAGAAGGGTGGGATTGGCATCTTTCTGCAGTTTTTATACTGTACCCTTTCCGTACACTTCACCTACATGGCTCTATATTTATTATCATGGGTTTCTAAGTATGTACTATGTTCTTTGTATAGCACGTTTGGTCATTGCACTAGTTTCGTGAAATTATACTTTGATCTTTATGTGATTCTATTATAAATTCGTTTTCTTCATTGAAAAACAAAATCTCAATGTTAGTGATGCTAGACCATTCTACCCGTAATTCTCAATAATATTCATGGTAATCAAATCAGAAACTGTTTGATGTTGAAATTGATCCGATTCCAGACTAAGTGATTTAAGCACTTGCGTTATGAGGATCGGAAGTATTGAACGTACACATAGCCCACGCAGACCCAATAAAATTATTATACAAGTTATTTAGTTTTCGATTCTACGAAACGAATTAGGTAGGCTGTTTTTGTCTATTTACGATACACTTTTGTTTGGTTGCACTTAGACGCTAAACTCTAGCGGTCATCGACCAATCACAAAGTGTCGTATTGGGTATGGCCATTCGCTAACCGGATACTCTAGTGATTGGTTATTTATAAATAATTTAGAAGCTATTTTTCGTTGTTTAAGTCAGCATTAAGCTGATACTCAACCATGGAATTAATTTAACCATTAAATTATTATGTACCATTTTATAAACAACTTAGTATTTAAAGTGTGAATTAAGTTGTAAGTCCTTTTTAATATTCGTTTCCAACTCTAAAACATTTGAATATAAATAGGGTAGTCTACACAAATACATGATAATCCGACCCCACGAGATAGCTACTTCATAGCGACAGCCTCTCAACGCCTGTCAATAAGTGGGAGCCTATTGTGGGAACACTATAAACTCAGCTTGCGCCGGACGGTACTTGATTATTCATTGATCCGCTGCACAGAGCTCCGCACACAAAATAGAACAAAACATAATGAACACTGCTTTATTATCCTTGAGATTATTTCATTGGTAGAAGAAACAAATTGTCAATACAAACTAAGTTCAACCGTGCTCAACGAGATCTCATAAAATTGTGAAAGTGTATGATATCAACCATTATTTTTTATCCACGACAGAACGGAGAAAGGTGTACATTAAGTATGTAAAATTCTTTTAAATAAGTGATTTAAACAGAGTTAACTGTAAAGTATTTGTGATGTATAGGAATCGATTTCTAGATATAAAAAAGCAAGCAAAATAAGTATTACGTCGCAAATGAACGTTCCCATTTATCTCCTAAAATGATTTGATCCATTCAGACGCGATCTACTAATACAGGTTTTTTTACTTTATTAATAGTTTTTGTGTTTGTGTAAGGATGTGAAATGTACGTAGCATTTAAACGTTTTAATTTGTATATTTCTTTGTATAATAGTGTATCAATTGTATAATATAAAAATATAAAACATAACCAAACCGAACACATAACATTTAATTGCAATATAATGGATACCTGTTTTATAGGTAAGTCAAGCAGTCGATAAACTATTTTATGATACCTATATCGTCAATATTCTCAGCGTATTAATCTTAAGAAACGAAGGATGTGACGGTTTGGGGAATTGGGTAATACTTTTCAAAGGTCAATTTTCTTAGCAGGTACTCTTAGAGATTTGTTACCCCGAACTACTTACAAAAAAATGGTAGATAAAGATTGAGCGTAGTGCAAAGTCAAATCATTATTAAGGACCTGTGTATATCTGACGGAAGATGCGTTGCATAGTTATTGTTGGTTGCGTGACGTCATAAGATAGCCATACACCCGGTTTCTGAATTGAGAATTTTAAGTTGAGCACATCTCAAACCAAGCTTAAGCCATTTTAAACGTCAATTGAACAAGCTTTCATTAATGATTTATAATTTTTTTATGATCAGCTGATAGCAATTTTATAAAACTTGGACTTTTTGCCATATGAAACGTAGTAAACTTAAGTTATTGAGAATAATCAGTTGAGATTTTGTGCTTTTCTCAATTCAGAAACCGACCGTAAGTCAATAGTGTAAGATTTAGATTTCTGTAGGTGAAATAATTTTTAAAATTTTAAAATAGAGCATGTCCACTCTACGGTTTATCGGCGTACTAATGCCTACTTCTGAAATACATTCGCCGGATTTTCCGTTAGTTTCGCACCGACTTTTATACTTAGATTTACTTTTCACATGTAAAAAAAGTCCTAATTTTATCAAACTGATATTAAAAAAAAAAAAAACTAAAACCCGAAACAAAAACCTGTTAAAGTACAGTTTGAGATGTTCTTTAAATCTTAATTCAGAAACCGGGTGTGATAGTTCATTTGAGATCATTGCTTATATCGATAGTATTTATTTAAAACACACGATTTAAAAAACAGACAATTATTTCAAAGGAAAATTATCAATTTTTAATTAAGAAAGTTTTTTATAGTTTTGTTTCCTTCAGTAGCACTTTTTTATTTGGCTCCTCGACTGCTTATATACTTTTAAGTGAAAATAACGTCTAGTCAAGAAAACACTTACGAGTAATGGGTTATTATAGAATTTATGTTTTATTTAAGGACTACAATGCATTACCTTAATAGCCTTTTGGCTGGTTTTTGCATTGAGTATAATACAACATCTCAATTGATTATTCTCAACACTTAAGTTGTTTACTTTTAACATTTGAAAGTGCTTTCTATGAACTTTATTTCATCATTATAAATATATTATATTTCCCCATTGATCAGAAGTTTGTGTGGATTTATAAATGCGTATTTAAAAACTACAGATGCAGCCTGGAACAATGGTTTAATATGTCTTCCCAAACACGGAGGAAATTGAGATAATTAATTTTTGATCACCCATCCTATGACCGGCCTCTGGGAAAGGCTGATTTACTTCCGTAATCGGTTACCAAACGCACATCGTCGATATTCTCTATAAGCTTACTAGAATATTTTTTCATTTTCAATTCAAAGCTTATTTCACTGTTCCTTTATGATATTGTGTCATGAGGATGACACAAATAGGTGAGAGCCATTGTGGAGACGTATTGTAGAACGCTACACTATATCCGGCAGAGTCAGATGACACTTGATACGCCCCACTAAGAGATACATAACTCACTGAATACTGATTTAATAAATGAAACTATAGAAAACTTAACATAATTATTGTATTATAGCTAGTCACATATCTATGATGTAAAATTTCTAACGCGGGTGACAAAGGTTAGAATTTACGTCGCCGAAATCGCGGTAAAAAGCTAGTGTATTATGAAATGTAACAATAATATATCGGAAAAATCCAAAATCGAATTATACGTATTATAAAACGAAATAATGCTGTATGAAACAATTCCCTTTACTTTTAACAGCATAGAAAGAAACAATAATATATCATTTTCATAGCGAAACATGTTTGATTTGAACATCCTACTTTTTTATGACATTTATATCTGTGATTTAAAAAATAAATGTTTCAATAAAAATAAATAAAACCGATCGAAATCGAAATAAAAGTCTTAATAACTAGCGATCCTACTTTGCTGGCTAATTTAATCGGTAATCAAAAAAAAATTTTGGTTAACCTTAAATTTTTTAGAATTTTAGAATATGTTAGAACTTTATAATTTCCTTTATTTAAAAATAATTTAAAGTGAATAATAGGTTTACTCTATTGTTACTTATGATGTTTTTTTGATTTGCCGGTAGGTACATTATAAGAATCTCGTGAAAGGATTAAGGTCTGAGCTGTAGCCATTACAAGCTTAAAACTTTAATGCTTTTAGCATAAAGTTTATTAAGCGTAAAGCTAAGCGTAATGAGCTTCGCAGCTAGATCTATTTAACGTCGCCGCTCTTAAAAGGCAAGGGGTATAGTGGCTGCTTTATATATCGAGTGAGTTTATTAAATGTTTATCTTTAATGTTACGATTAACTATTACAAATAATAAGCTCGACGGTTCAATTGTTAGTGCATTCAGTCTGTGAAGTGGACGCGGAAATTAAGTAATTTTCGTTAGGGTTAGTTATAGCCAACCCACGCTGTAGCATGTGTGATTTAAAAAGAAGGAAGGATTAACACCCACCAAACTGCACTGAGACCACGTGGTGCATCAACGTCCATTCTTAAAATCGACTCGTTTCCGTCCATAGAAAAGCTAATGCGTGATTCTTTTCAAATAAATTCATAATTCAATATATTTTAAAACGGGATTAATACCAGATTACCCACGTCTATATGTTTACCGAGTAACACAATTCAAATTTGAATTATGGCTCCCAAATTATTCTATTAGCCTTATCTAGGTACGTGTTCAATAATGTTAGTCAACAGTTGATTGGCCCATTAGATAACTAAGTACGCTCCAGAGTCGTAAAGTGGACATTGCGGAGATGAACCGTCGACGACCAGAGCACCGATGTCAGTAAATATTTACTCTAGCTCGGATTGTTAGTTTAGGCGTCTATCGGATAATTGTTACCGAAGAACGTGGCAATGTATTAAGCTTAGATTGAGTAATTCTATTTATCCTCAATAGTTACTTTCTACAATCATTTTTATCTACATAATGAATAAAAATAGTAGAGATGACGAATTATACTTATATTTTATAATATTGTGTGTTGTAAGACAAGAAATACAGTCGCCATCCTTAGAATTCGGCATTACTGTTCAAAAATATACATTCAAAACATTCTGGACATAATCCGGACTCACTTTAGTGCCAGGGTTAACCCATTATCCGACTAAAATAAGTAAACACGGTTCAACATTATCTCTGTTGTCTCTTCTTTTTGAATATATATTCAATTTGATTTGGGCGGCTAATGGTTTAAAGTAAATAGTAACTTTATTTTGTGTTTTATAATAACACGGATCGCGCATATTCTTGACTAAAAATACTTTATTCAAATAAGTAGCTTACAATCAATATAACAACTTCGGAATCAACAAGCAACTCATACAAACCGTGGAATAAATAATAGAAAACTCACTTTGCTAGAAGCGTCGCGTCAAGCATCTGTGGTTGTCGTGCGTCGACCACAATGACGTGCGGTGGACGGTTGTCGCCATCGCGTCGCAAAGCGTCTAATGTTTCGCGGGCGCATCGCACGGCCCGCCCTTCGCCGCCGGCTCGTGTCGCAGCCGCACACGCTGCTGCGCAAACGCGCGACGTTCGCTCCGGGAACACGCATAGCAACTGCAGATACAAAAGAGGCTACCGATTAAAAAAGAACTTTATTCAAATCGACCGATTCGATCATAAACTATGATGCAGTAAGTACAAATAAAACTAATTGCTTCCTTATAACCTCTTTTTGCATAAATAAAGAATTAGAAAATCCTTGAAAATATGGCTAGGACAGTCTATACAGGGATTTACCTTAAATAAAACAGTTAGAGAATGGGATAAACAATTAAAAAAAAAGTGTAAGCGTAAGCGATGTCATTAAAAGAATATTATTAATAGTTCTTAACGTTAAATTAAAGTCATAACGACTCAAATCTCTGTGTTCAGCACAGTATGACTCTTTAATTCGATTCATTATTTGCAAATCTTTCGCAAGTATGAAAATTAGTTTTAAAGATGGTTTTAAACAACGATTTTGCTATTTGGGCCATTAGTGGCCATAGACTAAATCTTATTGTAATGAGTATATTATAAGTTTTAGTCCATGGTAAATAAATTTAAAATAATGGGAATGGGGAGGCCTTTATTTCCTATTACTCGTATTTCCAAATGTGCATTAATGTCTTCTAGTTAGCTTTACTGGCAAAGATTTAATCAAAAAGTTTATTTTCATCAAAATTATATTTTCATTATCGCTGAAAAGAGTTGTTTAGTTAATGTTTTAAGTCATTTAAAATTGAATCTGTACAAATCTGACGGAAAATCCGCCAAATGTGCAAGGTCAGCTAGTGTCTTTACTAATATTATAAAAATGAAAGAATGTATGGTTTATTCTGCTTTAATATATTTTTTTCAGTTGCTAATTTATCGCTGTTATGAATTAATTACATTCCAATTAACAGACATGAACTATAATTTTCGCGGGCGAAATCACGAAAAATAGCCAGTATCAATGAGGAAGTATTTTTTTAATAAAACGAAAACACTAAAAAAGCGCCTCCACTAGATGGCGACTTTAGCTAAAGTTGATTTTTGCAGAAAACGAATGGACCAAAGACATTCATTTCCGTTCTTTTTAACCAACATATTAAAAAAACTGAAATTTGAAAAGTTCGAAACTTAGATACAAATACGAAAAATAATATTTTTAAACTCACACGATTTGTATACATTATAATTATATGCAATCGGGTCTTGTTCGTGCATTTTTTAAAACAATTAATTTACCTCGACGTTTCGGCTACGTTACAGCAGCCGTGGTCACGAGGAGACTGGAGAACTGGCGGGTGTCGTCTTCTGATTTTAGTTGAGGGTAATCCGGTAATAATGTTTTTAACAAGATGAGTTGTCCCATGTACAGGACATGCTAAGGAAAAATGGATACAGCGCAAGGAGGTCATACCCTATCCGAAGGTGTAAGGAAAGACTACCTAAGGTTCCTAGGCAACGGGCATTTTTAGGCTATGTTAAGGAGTAACGGACAAAATCGGTTCCATTTTGAGGAAAATTTTTTCTATAGACACCATTTTTACTCCTTTATCAAAAATGTCACACCAATTGCGATCACCAAAGGATAGTATTCCTTACCAAAAACCTGGCGTTTATAAAATTGACTGCAGCTGCGGTAGTTCATATATCGGACAAACGAAGCGGACTATCGCCGAACGTGTAAGAGAACACATAGCAGCGGTCAAAAATCGTCAAGTGGAGAAGTCCGCGATTGCAGAGCACTTATTATCATCTGGATCAAACCACTGGATCGAGTTACATACACCTCATGTCCTTTCCACTGAACGACATTACTATCCAAGGATTGTTCGTGAAGCGGTTGAAATCAAAAAACACAACAATTTCAACCGGGAAAGTGGATATAAACTCTCACCAACGTGGAATCCGGTTATAAAAATGTATAAGAGTCGCGATCGCAAACAACCACGAACAATATTCTCGGATACCGTAAGTGCAGTGTGTCGCCACCTTTACGTATAATAAAATCAAGTGGAGGGTACATCTGAAAATCAGTTAAAAACATTATTACCGGATTACCCTCAACTAAAATCAGAAGACGACACCCGCCCGTTCTCCAGTCTCCTCGTGACCACGGCTGCTGTAACGTAGCCGAAACGTCGAGGTAAATTAATTGTTTTAAAAATGCACGAACAAGACCCGATTGCATATAATTATAAAATACGAAAAAGTAAAAAAGGAATAGGAGTTGTATATTGAGTTTTGAAAACTAATTTACTTTAAACTTGAAAGAAAACCAGAAAGGTTGTCACGGAGAAATAAAGAACGTACCGTAGCGACATCTAGTTTGATTTCGGGAACTAATGATTTTTTTTTAAATATTTCCTTATTAGGTAGAGTGACAGTTCTGAGGTTCCGCAATTGACGAGACGCATCATTCGTTAGATATGTACCGATCCTCAGTAAAAGTCTGTTATTGGAATTCGCTTATTTAAATTGGCAATAAACTATCTCAATTTGCAAGGGTCAGCATGTTAAATGAAAATTATATTTCTTTATTATTAAAATCAACACAAAAAAATAATGGATTAAGCTGGAAAAGAAAGGGAAATGTTATTATTTATAATAGAAGGTTCAGTAGAAAAAGGTTACAAGGAGTTTTATAGATTTTAAATTAGATAATTAGGTACTATTAAACAATATTTAAAAAGTTTATAGAAAAAATGTTTATATACATTACAACAATCACTACATAGTATAAAATAAAGTCGCTTTCTCTATCCATATATCCCTATGTTTGCTTAAATGTTTAAAAGTATACAACGGATTTTGATGTGGTTTTTTTTTCATAGGGTGATTCAAAAGGAAGGTTTTTATGTATAATATAAAAACACGCGGGCGAAGCCGCTGGCGGAAAGCTAGTACAATATAAGACAGAGAACAGATAGTTAAAATGATGCTGCATAAATTTAAAAAGGTGTCGCTAATGGCTGGTTTACACCTAATTAAGTTGATAAGTAGTAATTAGATTTTTAACTTAATTTTAAGTGATTAAGTACGTGTTACACAATTAAGTAGCAAGTAAAAATTTTGGTAGCTACTTATGAGCTTAATTAAGTTTAAAATTGGGATCTATTTACTACTTATCTCGCGATCGCATATCAATCAGAACTGAAAAAGAGAAGACGAAATGATTTTCTTTAAACCTTTCTAATGAATGAATGGCAGGTGACATTCGGTGCGTTGATGCGTGCGATGGTTCATATGTTCGTATACAAATTATAAAATTCATTTCTTTCACCTTCGCGTTCCATATTGATAGAAGTGCAATTTAAGTATCTAATAAAATGACATAATAAAATATACTGACCTCTAAGGGTTCCGTGGGTGTGTAGATCAGTGAGGTGGGGATGTACGAGGGCGGCGGCGACCTGTTCTGCAAACGAAACATGCTGTGTAATATTCATATACGTAACTATATATAACACTCGAATAGGGTATAGCACAGTGCAAAAAAAGAGGAGCTCGCTGGTGTAATAGTTAGCGCGCTCGGTCTGTGATCCGGTTATTGAGCAATTTTCGCAATGGCCGGTCATAGGATAGGTGATCGATAATTTATTATCTCGAGCTCTTCCATGCCTCGGAAGGTATGTAAAGGCCCGAGTGGTGGGTCATGGCCCATTCTACCTATTCAATTTTATCCAAAGGGTAGGCATGAGCTTTGAGCCTCACTGCTGGGGATATTAAATGCAAAGTGCAAAAATATCTCAAAATATCATTGGAAAAATTTAAACTAAATTAAAATCTATCTAGTTTTAGACGCATGACCATGGTCGTGCGTGCTTGTAAAAAAAATATTATTCTGTCGAGAGCAAAGAAAAAAACGATTACCTACGCTTATTTCACAGACAGAAATTTCAAAGAGTTATGTTTCGTAGAAATTTTTCATACAATATTTGGTCTTTACTTTTTTCTTTCGAATATTATAATTTCTTCTACGCATAAATATCGATAAACGATACATTTATAAAGGCGCCAAAAGTTGAATTGACATTTACTACTTTTTTGTTCTCCTGAAATAATACCTTCATAAACTTTCTGGCAAAGAGTTAACGATATCATATCAGTGGGGGGAGTTGATGATAAAATTAATCTTTTCACCAGTATATATATTTAATAAGCACGCACCAGTACGAGTGGTAAAACTTAAAAGACTGCCTGCGCCTTGGATTACTCCAATATTCCATTAGTGCGCATGGCTATGAGAAGGCATGATAAAGCTTTTCGGATATATGCATGATTAGGTTTAAGACTAACCCCCTTCCACCTTTCGGTTTAGCAATCGCGTGTTTGAGAAAAAAATAAATACACGTGATACACCCCCCTCCCCCCTTGTGATATTTGGTAATTTGAACGAACCTCTTTCCCCCTTTTGAGTCTCAAGTAATTAATGCACTTAAAATGTTCTTAAAAGCTCTTGATCTCATTAAATCGCAAAGCAATGTTCTCCCTCATTCTTTCTCTGTTACTGATTAGATGAGAATGTATATTCTCATTTCTCATCTAATTCTTTTACCAACATACAAGATAAATCTAAGGCTTTAAAAATATTTCTTCTCTCTGCAATACCCCATTTTTTCCTTTTCCTTAGGTTCGGAGTCCAGGTTTCGTAAAATAATAATGTCTCTTAAGTCCAATGCAATCGGATATGTCGAAATCAGTCGTCGTATGACAATCTTATGTTTAGATAGTTTTCTCCTCGTCATCACACTATCATTAACTCATCCCTTTCCACAGGGATATTTCCTCGGAGCTAACGTGGAGCGCATGTGTTGCCTCTGCCAAAAAACAAAAGTCCAATTTCCATTTCTTTGGAAAATTCTCGAAGCAGTTGTACATCGTCAACTCACAGCTTTCCTTTTCAAAAAAACAATGTCCTTTCTGAGTGTCAGTCTGGATTTGGGCCAGGACATAGCACTATGACTGCGTTATTAAAATTTACAGAGGACATATGAAAAGGTTTAGAGGATAAACGATTGATAGTATCAGTATTAATTAACTTTTCAAACGCCTTTAATGTCGTCGATCATGATCTTCTTCTTGCAGTCCCCTCACGCGTGCTTGTTTCTTCTAATGAATTGGACTGGTTCTCTTCCTATCTTCGGGGACGCAAGCGTGTGACACCTTGTCTGATTAATGCACTTTAGCGGCAAATGTCCCTCAGGGCGGAATTCTATCTCCTTTACTTTTAATGTTTTTATTAATTTGATCTCTCCTATCCTTCCAAACTCTCATATCTGTATGCAAATGATCTTCAAGTTTACGCAAAAGTTCACGGCGAAAATTTTAATGATGCTTTATGCTCAATCAATAGCGATTTATACCGGATATCTGACTGATCGACCAAGTTTGGCATCTGCGTCAATCCCAGTAAGTGTCAAGCTATTATAGTTAGTTATCTAAATTGGATATGAGCACTTTAACGTTTCTGAAATTGTACGCAATACGCAATAAAGAAGTAAACTATATTGGCGCTGGAATATATAATAAAAAATTCGCGTTTAGTACAATGTACGTTTATTCTCCACATTGGTTGGTACAGAACAGGGGGGGAATCAGTGTTGTCAACACTAAACCTTTAATACAATGTTGTCACAGGATAAACTTAAAAATTACTAAAATTAAAGTTAAATGTTGGTAATTCCAACAGAAATAAAGAAGTTCTGTCATAGGATTCAAGTAAATTCTACCATTTTTCCTATTCTTGATTATGGTGATGTGTTATACTGATATCTCCCAAGAATTTCTTGACAAATCGGTTCGTTTACTTAATAGATGTATACGTTTTATTTATGGTTTTTGAAAATTAGATCATATTCTCGAAATGAACTTAAATGGCTGATAATTCGCCAACGTCGGGATTTGAGAATCCTTTCTACTCGCTACGCTATAATTAACGATCCATGTGCTCCTGGATATCAGAAACTAAAGTTTTAGTATTTGGATGCCTTTCATAATCGAAATCTTCGCTCAGACAACAAATTATCTCTTCTCACCGATTTCCATCGAACTGGTTTTATCTTAAACTCATTTACTCTCTGGAACGCGACTCAGGCAATACTACTCTGGAACACGCTCTCTACCGATATACAGAAATCACTCAATAATATCTCCTTCAAGCTATTAGTTCGTGAACTTGTGTTAAATTCCTCATTCTCACCTGTTTAATTCATAATTTGGTTAGATATGTATATTTATATATTTATGACGTTTATGTATAGGATATAATTATGTAGTTGGATGTAAATATTTGTCTGTAATATTATCATAAATTAGCTGCATATAACTCTCTGGTTGGCAGGTAGAGAATGCCTAAATGCATTAAGTTAGCCTAACATTTGTACTGCGTGCAAAAAAGCTTACTAAATAAAAATAAATATTTTTACTCTCTGATATAAATAGGTATTCTATGAATAAACACTTGAATATAGAGGTCAAGTGGTTATTTCAAAACGTACTCACATTCATATTCACTGATAAACTGCAAACTATAAACAAAAATAAGTCTGGCTTATTTTAAATCCAGTCTGTTCCAGAACTATTTATATAGTCATGGAGTATGTGAAAATATATTTTTTAGATATTATCATCATAAATTATTATAACGGTAGTAGAAAAATTGAATGTAGACACGTTTTTTTCTGCTCCGTGGTAAAGAGAATATATTCTATACATAGTATAAATCAAAGTCACGATGTCCATACGCTGTAATTTTTTAAAAATTAAAAACGGAATTTAACGCATTTTTCATCAATATACATAGTGATTCAAGAGGAAGGTTTTTGCGAATAATACAGGACCACGCGGACGAAGCCGCTGGCGGAAAGCTAACTAGATTCCAAGATAATAAGGCAGTGCTAGCAACCTAGATAAATGAAACAATCTTAAAGGGTTTCAACGCGTTTGAAAAATACTCATCGTTTTATCATTTATGGATAGTAATATAATTATTTTCTATGTTTGCAGATGGCCTATAGAATAGCATAAAACAAACCCAAATTATATTTAGTTCAGTTGAGAATGTGGTACAATATGATTGGCATTAATGTCACCAAAACTAACTTTTGTATTTAGTGACTACTATTCTATAAGACGAAAGTAATTAAACAACGATGTAAAATAGATATAGTATAGAAAACTTAGAAATACACTGACAAGCAAAAGTTCCATGTCATTAATAAAGAGTTCAAAGGTATGCGAGATATTTTTTAATTTGAAGAATATAAAAAGAAAAAATCACGAAGAAGACTTTAATTTACTGCATTATCAAATTTTCTTTTACTCACAACTTATTCTAAAAGGCTATTGTTAGATATTTTGGAAGATATCAAGGTTTTTGTAAGCGACCCAGAATTTTTGCTCGTCAGTTTATTGACATTAAATTAATCTGACTGGGGATTGAAACCGCGGATAAAGGAGGTCTTTATAAACAGGATATAAGTTTTGTTTAATTACGGTACTAACGGAAATTATTTATTGGATTCTTTTCCAAAAATGTTTTGTATTCTTCAAAAACATATTAGAATTATTATTAAAAAAAAAATCAAAAGTTTCAAAGTTTGAAGAATATTTGCTAAATAATATTACCACAGAAAAAGAGTATATTAGAAACATGTAAATCTTGTTTGATTGTATGATATAGAACCAAGAGGAACAAACTCTCTCGCGAAAGAATCCGTTTATTTTACAATAGCTTTCCACTGGCGTGTTTTTTCATTTATTTTGTCAGGAAGAAAAAAAAGGTAAAGAATTTATTCAAACCGCGTCAATCTCAATTAGGACGCTTCTTTCCCACTTCGTCGTCGAAAATTTTGCACCGGATATAATTTGAGCCGACGGAGCCAGAGAGGTACCTATTTTAATTACTGGCGACCCTTTCAGGGATAAAAGGCAAGCTGAATCAAAGACAAACCTTGGCTCTCGTCCACTTCTCCAAACGTGACTCTGGGCGGCATTGTTTCTTAATTACCGGCACCCTCATAATCTTTAAGTTGTGTTTACCCGCTAGTCTGGTTTTATATCACGGTAATAACGATGGAAGGTTTCGACTTCTTTACTAATATTATAATGAGGAAATACTTGATTATTTGTTTGTTCGAATCGAATGTAATAGAATCCGAAACTACTGAATGAACTTGTAAAATTCTTTCATCAACGGAAAGCTCTATGAATAAATACCTATAATTGGTCATTGGGTGACTGATTGCTGAGGTTAAACCGTTTTTGCAAGGGCCTCTAATTGGATGGGTGTGCGAAGATTTTTTTACCTTCAGCTCCTCCATGCTTTGGGAGGCACGTACAGGAGTTGCTCTTAGTTGCATTTGCAGTTGTCAGTACAGCAATCTGCTTTGGGCTTTGTTGGATTATCACCTATTCTCCCTTTTTTATTTCCATTGTTATTTTATGCCTCAATTCTGAATAGAGTTCGAGTATGTGTAGCATTACAAACTCGAGAAACGTTTTGTCTACACCCACATGTCAGTTTCTCGGTTCGAGACTGAGATATTGTATGGGCACACCCGGGAAAAGTGACATTTAGATGTAGATAAAACATTCTCGAGTTCATTACGTTACGCGTGCTGCACAAACGACAAAACAGTACATCGAGTTTAGAATTTTAAGGTTACAAGTCCAGTCCGATTTTTCCTGACATCATCAATAAGCCCCAATCATATTATAGCCAATTTACATAAAACCTTAATCATTAATACACGAATACCTTCCTCACAAATTAATCCGTCCATTACAGAAAACTGAATGGTAATCCGTTCGGTAGTGTTGGGATTATCGCGTCCAGACAGACAAGGAGGAAGCTTTGTTTAATAATTCGTAAGGATTACAAAATTGTTAAATTAATAGATTATCTTAATCCCAGCTCCAAAATAAAGGATCCGATTTTGATGAACTGCCATATCTTCTACATACAGATGACAGTAAGGTTACTGTAAAAGGCTTTCTCCAATAGGTTTTAACACTTAATGTTTTGAACAATAAGTTCAAAATTGACTCATGCAAGATTTTTATTATAACCTAGCCAGTGTGTTGCAATGGAGATATAGACATGAAATGCTAAACTCTTGTTTATTTATTCTTGCAATTTCATTTACTTTAGTGCCAGATTAGCATACCCAGTTCTGAGCTCAAATAATAGTAGAGTGAATCGTTTTTTTTTTATTGCAGCAATTAAGGCGCCAACATCTTTTACTGGTAGACTGGTAGAGAATGCCTTTGGCATTAAGTCCGCCATTTGTGTTTTAATCGCAATAAAAACAAATGAATAATGTACTGCAAAATGAACTTTAAGAATTTTTATTGTACATAAATAGAAATGAAACCACTTATGAAGTCATAATTCGCACTGGGAGCAGTAGGTAAGCGTCCTTTTTTCAACGTGTTTGTAAAAACTTTATGTCAATAAAATATGTAAAATGTAAAAAAAATATATATAACGAGTAACTTGGATAGCCTACTACCGAGAAGCCTGTTCCTACGTCACGTGATCGTGGCTCTCGTTTTTGAAAAAAAAAGGTGTTCAGAAGGCACGTTAATAACTACAATGGGAAAATGTCTCAATGTCATTTTAAATAGATTGGGATTGAATTTAGAAAAAACAAATTTTTATGAAATTAATAAAAAAAAAACGACAGTAAATTTTAAAGCAAAAATCAGGGTTACGTAGTAATCTGCTTGGTTTTCAGATTACCGTACCCAAAGGGTAAAACAGGAACCCTATTACTGAGACTTCGCTGTTTGGCTGTCTGTCTGTCACCAGGCTGTATCTGTATCGTGCAAGTTAGACAGTTAAAATTTTTCCAGATGATGTAGTTTTGTTGCCGCTTGAAAAACAAATACTAAAAACCGGAATAAAATAAACACTTATAACCATACAACAAACGTGATTTTTTTGATCGTTTCCGCTCGTTCTTGGTCGGTTTTTTGATGTCTATATATAACGAATTTTTGTGCGTCGACATATTAATATATATCGTATTTTAGATATATCTTTGCACCTTGATTTTAACTGATTTTGTACGCAGCGGCACTCAAATATTTAAAACATCTTGAAATCAAGCTCTCTTAATAAATTATTCAACGCGTGCAATTTTCTCATATAATAGCGATTGAACACGAATAAATGCCACACGCTCGGATTTATTTAATTTACATAATGAATAAGCCGTAACCATAGACCCACAAACAGTTCATCGGCTCATGTTAGGACATTAAATAAGCCTGTATTATATGAGCATTGATACAATTTTAGATCTCTGTTATTCTATATGATTTCTATGATTTACTTGCATATATTTTTTATTTATATTGTTGGTTTACAGGTTTTCTTTGTTAAGCATAGTGTATTTGGTTATTTTTTTTTGTGATTATTCACCCTGCGTGTCTTTATTTTATAGGCTTATTGTTAACAGTCCGCAGTATTTATTATCTACTGATACGTCTATATGTATCCCATTATAAAAGTCCCAGGGCCCGAAATGGGATTCGAACTCATAACCTTTCGCGACTGCTCTAACCATTGAGCTTGAGACCTCGCGGGATTAACGAATGTCTCAAGCACCAATTACTTTTCCTACTAGTGAGAGTATTTTCATAAACATTTGGACAATTCACCAAAACAGCACAAAGCAATACTTGTAAATGTACATAGTATGTAAAGTACGAGTAATATATATCTTGATGAAAATATTTAAGATTTTCTACCATCAAAATATGTATGACTCGTTAAGAATATTTCTGGATATTTATAGAAAACAAAAGATTATTTTTTCTTGCAGTTATGTATGTGAAATTATCATTTTTTTTATAATTATTACAAAAGGCGAAAATAATAATTTCCAGTAAGAAATACTTTGAATTTCTGTTAAACTTCCTCGCAATTCCAGATTTGATATTGACATCCTTTTGTAATATTCAACGGAATTATTTTTACGATTAATAAACATCAGCGACTAGGGACAATCGTTTATGAAGATTTTCATTAAAAATTGGAGTAACGGCATGAGGAGCGGTTTTCTCTTCATACATCTGAAAGTCGTCTATGGTTACAGTTTGGCGAATTTGATTCCTTTCATATATAACGAATGTCATTGTCAAAGTGAATTTTGAAGTAATGAATTGAAATGCTATTGTTTCAGGTACCTCAACTCTAGAGTTTAAAAATTATCCTTTTCCCTTTTATGTATATTGTATGTTTGCTTTCATTTCCTGCCCTAGTATTTGCACAACGCCCGGTTACATTGCAAGCAGAGTTGTGGATACCAAGCAGAGCTGGCTGAATCATAGAAGAATCAATAACGAAGAAATTGAAAAGAAATGAATTAATTTATTGTTATTTTTTTTTGTGTATTATAATGTTAAGTTATTTTTAATGAAAAATGTTCATAAAATCCACTTTTCTCTGGCACTCTGAGATGGGATTCGAACCTATAACATTTCGCAATCCAGGCGATTGCTCTAACCACTGACCTACCCAGGATCTAACAGGACTGTTGCTGTGCCCTAACTGAGTTCATGATATGGTGCATGCTATATTGAGTAGAATATTTGTGTTACCACATGATTGGAATAAAGAATTGAATTAATAGAATAGTACAAAAAAACACTATGATAGTCACTTAAGTATGGAAGCTGGCAATTAAATCGAGCAGGAAAATTTTTCATTGAAATAATCATTATTCAAGTAAAAACCAATTAATAAGCATAAGTTGTCAAACTAGTTAAGTCCAGGCTCTACGGTCTTTCAAGTAATTTTCGACTTTGTAATAACTTTCGTATTTGAGAATATTTTTCACAGATATCTTTAAATCATGGAAAGAACATCAATAAAATTTTGTGTCAATTTGTCATAAGAAACTTTTCTTTGGGAGAGGGTTTCCAATGTTTTCGTACCTACATTTTAGAGCAGCAATCTTACTTTCATGTTGGTATTTCATCGATAGTTTTCACTGATCTTCCACGAAAAGCATATGAGACATATATTATATAATACTAGGTTACCGCCTGCGGCTTCGACCGCATGGCATAGGATCGAATTTTGTAAAATCCTGTGTTACCGCAACTATATCCTAAAAAGAACCATTCTCCTATCACTTGTTGTAAAGAAATTTTCTACAAATTGTCAACCCCAAAAAAACTTAGGAGACAAATTACGCATAATCCCGTCTCAGTGAATCTAAAAAGAACCACCCACCCATGTCCTAAAAAGGACTCTCATGCAAAATTAACTCCTTGTACTAGCTGACATTTTGTGATGAGTGAGTGACCTTTTACTTTTGTAACTTACATTACACACAGGACAGGTTGTCATAAACTGTCCTAAAATCTATTTTGAGCTTAACATTCATAAGTTATAATTTTAAAAGACAAGGTAAATTTAAATATAATTCTTTTTTGCAGATGAATAATATTACGAAAAATTTAATTCTTATTACGATTAAACTAATTCTAAACGATACGTGCCATCTGGAATTGATTATTGCGAACGATTTTTCGGTCCGCAACATAGCAGCTGTAGAGGAAATATTCCTTCATTATCTTTTATTCAACATTGCATTGCAGGCAGCAGCTTGGTTGAAATATTTTTCATTAATACCATTGGCTATCTTTGTTTATTTACAGTTAAGATACAAAATCATTTCTTATCCTATTTAGTGTAAATAATAGATTTGTTATCTGCTGTTAAGAAATGTTTTTGCGCTAAATAACTTTGTAATAATGTTATTTGAAGTTAAAGAATTTTGTTGTACTTGCAACTGTTTGTATACTTTTTGATTTTGACAAAATAATCGATTTGTTTTTTATATGTAGACGACTCTTTTTGTAGGCAACAGAGTTGAAATTTGAAGTATTTTTATTTTCACACCCTTAAAATCATCCTTGTCGTTAATAACTTATTGAGTTCATGATATTTAAAGAGTCGTTATTGCACTGGAGCAACGTG